TTAGTTTCCGTAACGTATTATACGAGACTCGACATTTGATTCATTTAATCATTTGCAACAAAATTTAAATACCCGACAGGGATTATTCTGGATTAGTTCCTTATCCACGTAATCTGTTTAATAATGCTGCATCATTCAAACGTGGATAAACGACATTTAACTTCAGTTCAGTTTCTTGTGCGTGTCGAAATTTTCGAGATCCCTAAGACTTGGTGATCATTGTAAATGCTCTATGAACTTTGCCCGTGAAGATTTTATGTTCGAAGCTACGCACCTGGTCTGTCATCGTAGGCTATATAGTAGGGAGTGTGCGACGGCGCCCATAGGGCGCCATCGTGCCGCGACGAATGCGGTTTCAGAGATGTTTCTTACTCTCTCTTCTTTTCCTCTTCGTTGACTACATGCTCATAGTACTGATACTTTGGGGAATCAAGCCAGGGAGAAGTCGCAAGAAGATTCAAGAGGGAATGGCTTAAATAAAATAGGCGCGAAGGTTGTCACGATCCGATGCACGGTGAACATTATCGAAACTGAAACCCAGTCTCATCGGATTTTTTTCATTTCATTTGCATATGTATTCACTATCGACTAACCGTATACGAGAATGTAGAAATTTTGCACAACTACATAAAATTCGAACAAATTACTTCATTCCTAGTATATTTTAAATTTTTCATTCACTTGTTTTTTTTTTTTTTTTTTTTTTGTATGTTTCTTATATCTGTTTGATGTCGATATTTTACAGCAACAAAGGGATTCTTGAAAATTCTGATTCACGTCATCAAATTCTGCCAGTAGCTACACATAACGATACATAGATAAATTGATAAAACATGCGCGTAGAAACAAGAGAGAAAATCAGAGAGAAAGACGATATTCTACCGATGGTTTTGAAAGTGATGCATTCGCACTTATGCGGCGCCGTTTTGGTAATCAGGCCGATTGGACAAAATGGTACGCGCTGTGGGGGTGCGCATCACGCTGAGCTTTCAACCTTTAACATCGCACATACATCTACTTATTTCTGCAAGATCGATATCGAGTTATCGAGTTAACTGACAACCACGCTAGTGATATATTCCCAGTTAGATTGCTAATGAAAAGCTATTTTCAGGGAGTTACTGCTGTGGAATCTC